ATTTTTACCAGACCGACATACGCAGGCGACAAACTAGCCATGATTAGAGATGCACACGATCTTGCTATTGCGAGGAATTGGAACTTTAGGGACGCGTATGTAACCACATTCAACACCGCCACCCCAAAATTTCACCTCAACATCGGAGATAAAGTGCTCCTCCACGCACCTAATCTAGCCAGTTCAGCAGTCAACGCAAAATTAAACAAACCTTGGGTTGGACCATTCTCCGTCAAGAAGGTATTCGAAAACAACAACGTGCTCATAACAAGAGACGACAACACTAAACAGCAGTTTCGAGTACACCTGGACAGGATCAAGATCTTCAGAGGCACGGTAGGTAAAGAATACGGAATACAGCCCCAGAGACCTGAACAAGAAACACAGGTCAAAAGATTACCACCCAAACCAATTCTTCCAGGTCAACGAATAACAAGAGGAATTGCTCAAAAACACGGAATCATAGTCGAGAACGAAAAACTTCCGAGCAGGCCAAAAGAATATGTTGCGAAAAGCCATCCTAGTCATGTGGCTACTATGGGGCACCAACCACGCGGACACCAAGCCCAAGTTCCACTCTTCAAAGGGCGGCATCCGCTTGCTCAAAACAAGCAACCTTTTTTTACAGATTGCAGAAGGCCATCTGATATTCCAGATCCCTTTTGCTACTCAGATAGAACAAACGGAAAAACTTATGGACCTCGTCAATTCCCAAAACGACAACAACGGACAAATGGCAAACGAGATCCAGAATGCATACTTCCGTTTGTCCAGAACAATCAAGACGATGGTTTCCCCCAAAACAAGACAACGACGATTCTTGGCAACCATCCTAGGTGTAGTAGCAGCAATCGGCATGGGTATATACAATACCATCAACATGGCAACAATATCTGCCAACGTAAACTCAGCCTCACGACGCGCCGATCAAATGCTACAGTTCCAACAACATACGGACGAAATCATCGCCGTACAGAACCAGCACATCAGACAGTTGGCAACACTCACCACAGCACTAGGCAAAGAGATAGAGGAGGGGAGAAAACGAGACCTTCAGCTGGCCAAAGCCTTCGTAGTAAAGGATGCAGTGGACAGGATGGTGGAACACCTAAACCTCGTCAACAACCAGCTACAGGTAATCAGGCAACACAGATTCCCTTTCCTCCTCATACAGAACAGCGTAGTGTCAGACCAACTGGAGAAATTAGCAAACAAAGCAGAAGAAAGAGGACTACTGCCGATTTTTTCCACGCCGGAGTTCATCACGCAAATGCATACGAGCTTCATCCTGGAGGGCAACACAATTTTAATCGCAGTACCTATTCCTCTAACCCACAAGTCAATTTCTTTCAAACTCGATATGTACAGGGCCCCGGACAGCCTAGTCAGTATCAACGATACAACATGGAGATTCCGGAACAAGAACTCCCTGGTTACGGATATACACAAAACAAACATATTCGAAGTGACGGAAGAAGACAAGAAACAATGCAGAATCATCCTCCACAACACCATCTGCAAAAAACACACAATCACAAATGGAGAATCGTGCCTATCACAAATTCTTAAAAGGACGAGAGCGGACAAATGTACGGATTTTCTAACTCTGGCGGAATCACCATCAACTATTTTCAATCAGGACGGTACAACTTACCTTTTTAACAAGGAGACCTCAATGGCAAGAGTCACATGCCTCAATTTTTCCCTACAAGCAAATCTCCTGAACTTACAACAAATTTTCTTACCTGACGGCTGCATATTCCAGCAAAATAACACAACGCACTTCCACATTACAGGTCCAGATACTAAAACAACCATTTCAATTGCCCTAAAGGCCGAAAATCTCACAAGATTTATTAATTCCACAATTCAATTTTCCCCGGACAATATTAATACGATCTCGAAGGAACTGGCCGAGATCAGCAAATACTCTCCCCCAACTTTTAAACAAGTCTCGGAAATATTTAACCGCGGATGGACCGAAAAGATTCACAATCTTTGGAACAAATTTTCTTTACCAATTACTTCCTCATCAGCCACAGTTTTTACCATTCTGATCGTAATAATCATTGCTGCGTTTCTTCTCCACAGGAAAAAGCAAAGAAAACAATTTAAAAACCTAGCCCGCCAGCAGAAACAACAAATCCTAATGTCTCAATTCTCCAAGAAATAGTTTTTTTTTACTTTAAACTTACCCCCATTTCCATTCTACTTTACTTTCAGTTTAAAGCTTTTTTTTCTTTCATTTCATTCATTTCACCCCATCCTCTCTTTTTCTAAAGGGAGGAGGGATA